CATCCTTGTGCACACTGCTTTTTCTTCTGGAAAACAATGCCATGTAGAAGGACAATGTTATTGCTATGTTCTCCGTGAGGCTGTTTCCTAGAAGCTCCTTTGGTTGGTGTGAACCCATGTTCATGACCAGAAGGCTCCCGATGTTCTGCTCCTGCCTACCTCTCTGCCACATGCACCCCTCCCTTCTTCTGCCTCAGCCACCTTGGCCTACCTGGGTCCTCACACACTGCAGATGTACATATTGCAGGATGTTTCCCTGACTGGGTCCACTGCCTGCAGGACTGTCTTCCAGGATATAGCATGGCTGATTTTCTCCATTTGGGTCTTGATTTTATTACCTCCCGGAGAGGCCTTTCCTGAAACTTACTTACCCTCCCTTGGCAAACTAGTATTGTCTAATATATATATATACACACACACACACACACATATGTACTTGGGTATATATATGTGTGTGTGTGTGTGTGTGTAGAGTATCCAAGTATATGTGTGTGTGTATATATATAGAAAATATATATTTTCTTCAGAGTATCACTGTCTAAAATTATATTATTCACTTACATTTTGTCTTACACATTTTCTGCCTCCTCCTCTAGAGGAGACCTAAGGTTGCAAACCCTCTCCCTCTTGTTTACTATTGTGGTTTTTTCCCTTAACACAGTGTCTGGCAGAGAATAGGTACTTCAAATCTAGCAAATGATGCATGCATCGATGAATGGATGGGTGGATTCATAGGTGGCTACATGGGCGGATGAATCCATGGGTGAATGGATTCATTGTTGAATGTATGGGTAGGTTGATTCACAGGTAGATGGATGTGTAGGTGGATGGGTAGGTGGATGCATGGGTGTATGAATGTGTGGAGGGATGGACACATAGGTGGATGCATGGATGGATGGATGCATAGGTGGGTGAATACATGGGTAGATGCATACGTGAATGGGTGCATAAATGGATAGATGGATGGATAGCTGGGTGTATGAATGGATAATTGGATGTATGAGTTGATGGATGGATAAATCTACAAATGGGTCAATCAGTAGATGAAGTAATTGATTTTTTTTTGGTGTCTACAATAACTTGACGTTAGCACCAAGTTCTTTTAACAACAAAGTGCCTTAGACACAAAAATTCTGGCTCTTCTAATCATCACTTTCTGCAAAGACAACTAAAGCATCCTTCCCCTTTTCATCATCTTTAGCTATGAAATTTATATGGAATGATATGCTGCTAAAAACATTAAAAAATCGAACCAAAACCACAAAACAATACAAAATCCTTTTGACAATCCTCCAAGCACTTTGATAAATCAATGACCACCATCTGGACTGTGGAAATACATGGAGTTTTCCCTGACTATTGGGTTTATTATTTGTATTTTCACTTCCCCATGCCACAAAGGTCTGACTTCAAAAATTTAGTATAGCAGTGAATATGATTGACCAGAAGATCTTAGAGACTTTTGCAGACAATAATATCTTAACATTCCAACTCACATTCTCAAACAAGCTAGATTCCAACTGGTTGATGAAATCCCCTTGTAAATACTTAAATCTTGTTTATTTTCTGAATGTTAGTTCTGCCTCAGGTCAGATTGTCTAGTTCTGTCAACATCACAGACTTTGTAGAAAATATCAGTTTTTTTCAACTCTAGATTATCCTGTCAGGTTTCTTGAGAGGAGGAGAGAATAGCACTGACCACTGAGTTACCTGCAGCAAAGCAGAGTAAAAAGAGAGAAACACATGCCCCCAGGTCACCTAGCAGGTCCACAGTCCTTTGACAGCCTCTGGTGCCAAATTCAGTGAGATAAGAAAAGCACTGGTAAAAAGGCTGATAACATTTTCTCTCCAAAGAATAGAAAGGGGAGGTGATTGGACCCTAATATCAGACAGAATCAGTCATTTGCCACCTATCTCATTGTAAAAGGAAAACATCTTGGGCCCTGTAATCACTAAACTGAAAGAAAAAGTCAAGCTGAGAATTGCTTAGGGCAAACCTGCCTCCCATTCTATTCAGCCCTGCCTCTGCTCACTGAGATAAATGCATATCTGATCTCCTCCTTAGGAAAGGCTAATCAGAAACTCAGAAGAATGCAACCACTTGTCTCTCACCTACCTGTGACCTGGAGGCCCCCTCCCTGCTTGGAGTTGTCCCACCAAACCAATGTTCATTTTTCACACATTAGTTGATATCTCATGTCTCCCTAAAAGGTATAAAACCAAGCCGTGCTGTGACCACCTTGGGCATATGTTGTCAGGACCTCCTGAGGCTGTGTCATGGGTATATCCTCAACCTTGGCAAAGTAAACTTTCTAAATTAACTGAGGCCTGCCTCAAGCTGTCAGGGCTCACAGCATCCATAAATTGACCTTGGTCATTCTCAGGAACCGGAGACCACAGCTTATATCTGACTGCAGACCACTTTGACAGGGACCTTTTATAAATGGTCCTGGGCCACTCCTTTCGACATCACTGCCCCACTTAGATCATTGCTCAGACATCACCCAACAGATAAGCTCTCCTGAGCCACCCACGTGAAACAGTATCCACCCTGTCATGCTCTCTCCCTCAACCTTGCTTATTTCCTTCACAGTGTAACCCAGTATCCCAGCCTTGAAATGCATCTTAGAGGTTTTTTCCCCACTTTCTTTCTTAATCTCAGACTATAACCTTGTTGAAAATAAATTTTTGGTGCCGCAAAAGAAATAGCACTCGAACACAAATTTTCTCAGCAAGACAATTTTACTTCTGTAGAAGGGTGCATCTCACGTGGAGCAATGGCAAGAGTACACCTGAATAAGGGAGGGGAAGGGGTTCTTATCCCTGACACAGGTAGCCCCTACTGCTGTGTCATTCCCCTATTGGCCAGGGTTGCGCCACATAGTCTAAGCTAATTCCAATTGGCTATTTTAAAGAGAGCAGGCGTATGAGCCAGAGTGGCGGGGTGAGCAGTTTCGGCAGGAAAGACGGTTACGGAAGGTGACTAAAGGTGACTCAGGTCAGAGCAGGTTACCAGGCGAACAGGTGTGAACTACTGATTAGAAGTGGCAGGAAGGTTGTTTACTGAAACTAGGGGCAAGGAGATCAAGCGAACGAGGAGGTTAAACTTTAAAATGGAGAACAAAGAATGGAACATACTGACAAGCTGATTCTTTGAAGACAAACTTAGAACTCACTGTATTTAACAGCCTTGAAATGCACTTTAGAAGCCTTGATTTCCCTCCCTTTCCCACCAGGCATTCCCTTCCACTGTGCTCATTTGTCTTATGTGCTTGCTCAGAAATTCTAGGGGCTAATTTTGAAACAAACCAGGCCTAGAAATTCAGCTGCAGGATCCCCCCGACACATGAATAATTAGTCCACCACCACCAGGCCTAGGTCAAGGTGATAACTAACCGGACCTCTGGACGAGTGATTACTCCAGACAGCCATTGGAACAAGACCCAACATTCTGCACCACTCCTGCATGCCTCCCACATGAAGTCTGTCTTTTTTTTTTTTTTTTTTTTTTTGAGACAGAGTCTTGCTCTGTCACCCAGGCTGGAGTGCAGTGGTGCGATCTTGGCTCACTGCAAGCTACACCTCCCGGGGTCACACCACTCTCCTGCCTCAGCCTCAGCCTCCCAAGTAGCTGGGACTACAGGCGCCCGCCACCACGCCTGGCTAATTTTTTGTATTTTTTTTTTTAAGTAGAGATGGGGTTTCACTGTGTTAGCCAAGATGGTCTCGATCTCCTGAGCTTGTGATCCGCCCGCCACAGCCTCCCAAAGTGCTGGGATTACAGGCATGAGCCACCGGGCCTGGCCCAAGTGTCTCTTTTTAAACCCCCTCACTCAGCTGAAAGAGTTGAGATGGTTCCTTGAGACTTAAGTCTGGCCATTTTCCTTGACTGCTGGCATTTGAATAATCAAGCTGCTTTTCCTTCATCACACATTGTCTCTTGTATATTCTTTGCAAGCTGAGAGCAGCCTGGCCTGAGCTGAGTCACAAAATACTTCTCAATCAATGAAACGTTCTTGTGCATAGTTTGAACTGTCTGGCTGTGTGTGCTTCCCACACCAGCCAGCAAGGGCCAGGAGGGTGGAGGATCCACCTGCCTGCATCAATGCGGTGTCCTCAGTGTCTGGTCTGGTGCCTGCTGCATAATAGGTGCTCAATAAATATCTCTTGAATAAATGGGTGAATCCCATCAAGGCAGCCTTTTCTGACTTTCATCTTCTTCAGCTAATAACTTGTGATTGATTAGTATCTTATGCAGAAAAAAAAAAAAAAAGAACATAAAACAACACATCATCTCTGCCTGACACAGGTGATGTGAGAGGCCCAGGTTCCTGGTAAGGCTTTTCTCTTCCCAGGGGTAGATAAAGGTCTGTATACGGCTATACAATCTCTCACGCATGTGCATTTACACATGGACACACACATACACACACACACTTCATCTGATTTAAGAAAGTGAATGTTGACTAAAATAAAATGCTAAAACTGGAAAGTGACTCCAAAATTTACAAAACTAAATAAGTATGCTAGGAATGTAAAAGAGTAAGTTTGAAATGATAGCTTTTAGAAATGTGTAGCATTTACATTTCTGAAAACGTTAAAGTTTAAAGGTTAGCTAAAACGTGTGTAGGCATAAACACTCATATTTATTTGTGTGACTATAATAAGTCATACTTTAAAGCATTTAGCATGTGCTAAGCTCTGTCTTAGGAATTGTATTCTATAACTCATTTAAGTGGGAGCTTGGTGTGAGAAAGGCCTTTCAGCCACTGCTTTTTGATCAGTTTTCCGTTGGGGTTGCAGAGAGACACAATGTGTGCACTGCAGCCATCTTGTGCCCATGAGGTAGCATCTGAGCAAATGCCAAAAATGTCCCAGAGACCCTGGCTCTGATGTCTATCAGCAGGCAACCTTAGCCTGTAAGAATAAACTATCGATCTGAGCCTGAGTAGTCTTTTATTGCAGGGAAAATATTTCTAACGTATATATGCTATTAATAGGTCAAGACAAACTGCAATATGGATGCTGTGTTTCTTGAGCTCGATGGAGCCCAGAATAAGACGGTCAAGAAACTTGAAGCAATTTAACACTAGCCTTTCTTGACATAGGAGCAGCGGTGGAGAAAGCAAGAGGTAAGTCAGTTGCCAACTAAGGAGTTGAAAGAGGAACATTTTGGAAATGTTCACATAAGTGGTAAAAGGACCCTTTTGGAAAACACTGCTATATTTATGAGACCCCTAATGATAAATACGTACACTAAATTTGTCAGCCTGGATAAAAAATCTCGATTGTACAGTCTTTACACTTCCAATTGTAATGGATTTTCAAGTACCTGAAACAAGCTTCAGCCAAAGATCCTGATGTTCTTTTGATAGCGGAAACGAGACAGCAGATTGCTATCAATTTTATATGTGACTCCAGGTGCCTGTAATTTTCAGAACTGCCTGGTATCTTAATACTTTTCTGGGTCCCCATCTCTTTGATGCCTTTCCAGTACCTGTCCCATGCTATTTCTTATTTCAAAGAAAATATTAAGCGTCAGAAAAAATCTACGCTCTCTTACGCTCTCTAAATTATAATTCTACTCAAGGGCAATGGATTCTTGTGCTTGAACTAGAGCTTGGGAAGTAACTTTCTGCCCTTTACCTTGCCTGATACAGTTTCTCTAGTGCACCCTCCAAAAAGGGATGCAGTCATCACTTGTTTTTCCCCCAGTCTTTCTCTAAAATGAAAAGGACACAGTTTCAACAGCAGATGTGCACGTTTCTGCTACCATTTGTTCAGCATGAATCTCAAGAATCACATCACTACTGCAGATGAAAGTGATCTGAGCCATAATCTTAAGTCCTGTCACCTCCAACCAAAATGCTGCCTCCTTAGTTTGCAGTTACCAATTCAAAAGTCTGGGGTGGTTGAAGATCATTTCAATGTATAGCTTGTAAGGAAATAACCTGTATTTGAAGTTGCACGGCCCGGGGAGGAAGGTTTTTGTTTTCAACTAGAACAGATGTACTTGAGAGAAAAACACAACATCCTTTGACACATTCATCTCTCCTCCTGCCTTTAAAAAAGAATGCTCCAACCTTCTCAGGCACAGTGGGATGGCACTGTAGGACTATTTCTGAGTAACAGAATTCCTGTGATTTGGGATTTGAGAGGAGTCTGCTACTGTAAAACAAAATACACCATAGTGCCAGGGAGGCTGCACTATCCTTTGAGTCTGCAGGAAACATGCCACCCGGCTTGTGGTTTCCCAAACCCCTCACCGTGCATCCATAGTTTTCTCTGCCTAAGACGTCTTCAGACGTTATTACTTAATCATTTTCTTTAAAAGACTCTGGTCTTCCACCTTCCTAATAAGAGTGGTGTTCACAAAATGCTGATGTACTAGTTACGGACTTCATACAGCTGGAATAACTACTTAGTTATGCCAGTGAGGGGCACACACATACACAGACACACACACACAGTGCACACACATGAAGACACATACATGCAGACACACACGTGCACACATACATGCATGCACATGCACACACATGCACACACACATGTGCACACATGCACACACATGCATATACACTTACATACATACATGGACACACACATGCACAGGGTAAGGCAGGGTGAGGGCCACGGCTCAGGATCTAAGGAAATGCTCATTCTACTCATTCTCAGGGTTATGCAAATGGGAAGCGGCAACCATTTGTAATTTTGTACCCTAATGACTTGCTTGCCTACCTCTAGACTTTGCCTTGCACACACATAGACTTCCAACTACATACAAGAATTCACTTTCCTATGTGTGACCTAAAATCATCCAAATAAGCCGCCAGGTGTGGAAACTTATTACACGTTGGTAAACTCTAATCTTATCAAAACTGCAAAGACACTGTGCAAAGTGCACAGCCTCCTCTTCCCCCCAGGCTCTGCCAGCGAATTCTCCAACGGATCCTATGAACTGAGAAGTCTGATGGGATTTAAAGATCCCTAAAAGGAAGAACCACCTGACCTGCAATTTAGAAAATTACAGGGATCAGCTGAGGTTTTATCTGGGGTTCCTTTGGCCTCATGGGGCTTTCATCTCCATAGAGTGCTGCTCTGAGAAGGCTGCAGACTGCAGGGCAGGAAGAGCAGGTCAGAGACCACTCCTGAGAAGGCTGCAACCTCCTAGTGTGACTCACAGAACACACAAGGTCAGCTCCTAGTGCAGGTTTCAAGAATGGCAAATGCTACCTGCAGAGCCCTCTCTGGTCCAGACCCCTAAACCAGATAGATAGATAGATAGATAGATAGATAGATAGATAGATAGATAGATAGATAGACAGACAGACAGACAGACAGACAGATAGATAGATAGATAGATAGAGATAGACAGATAGATGATGATGATAGATATAGATAGATGTGATGCTATAGATAGACAGATGATGATAGATAGATATAGACAGATAGATGATGATAGATAGATAGATATAGACAGATAGATGATGATGATAGATAGATATCGATAGATGTGATGATAGATAGATACAGATAGATAGATATAGATAGATAGATATAGATAGATGATGATAGATAGATAGAGATAGATAGATGATGATGATCGATATAGATAGATAGATGTGATGATATAGATAGATAGATAGAGATAGACAGATAGATGATAGATAGAAAGATATAGACTGATAGATGATGATGATAGATGTGATGATATAGATAGATAGATAGATAGATAGATAGATAGATAGATAGATAGAGATAGATGATGATGATGACAGATAGAGGGAGAGAGAGAGTGGAGAGGAAAATGGAGACACAGAGGGTGGGAGTATAAAAGTGAGTGAGAGAAGGAGTCAGAAGAAAAGTGAAAGAAAATAAAGGAACAACAAAAGAAAGAAAAAAGACTCATCTAATCAACTTTTCCATTTTATATCATGAGTACTTGAGGCCCAAAGAAAAGGTGTGATTTGCCCAGAGTCATAAGGTAGGTAAGGTAAGAAAACAACAGACAGTCTCCTCCACGGGCTTCCTGGAGATGAAATAGTCTCGGCGGAAGCGTGTGACGGTGAAGATTAGCTAGAAGAGGACAAGTTACTCACCTGCTATCCCTCTCTGTGTGCATGGAAAGCAACATCTCCCTCATGCACTGGACACTGGCAGACCTTTGGAAACTCCTCTGCTAAGCGACATACTCTTTCCTAGGAGAGAACCTCTCATCTCCGTAATTCCACCACAGCCCTCTGGCAAATGCAGATTTTGGCTCTAAATGTCCTCTCGGAACCTCATAAACCCGGAACGTCTTTTCCCACTTGAGCCGAAACCAGGCTGAGCGGCTGGCAGGTGGAGCTGAGAGCAGCACTGGGTACTGCATTTCCAGAGCAGGAAGCTGGAGAGCGAAATCTCAGAGCCAGAAAACAGATGTCCCTGGATGTAGCCTAGACGTGGCCCTGCCAGGAGCTCCTTGAGGAGGAGCTTGGGAGAGACGCCTGGACTTCCAGAGGAGCTCGGTCACACCTGCGCACTGCCGTGGCTGCAGGGGGGTCACCACTACCCTTGGTATTGCTCCCCAAACTACAATCATGCACATATGAAGCTCACCCATTTTTCCCCATAACCTTGTGTCACCTTCATTATTTTGTATTTAATAATTCATTTATTTTGTTAAAGCAGATCACATTTTACCTAAAATTTTTGTTAATTTATTATTTATTATTGTTTATTTTTTGGAGACAGTCTTGCTCTGTCGCCCAAGCTGGAGTGTCATGGCGCAATCTTGGCTCACTGCAACCTCTGCCTCCCGGGTTCATGCCATTCTCCTGCCTCAGCCTCCCAAGTAGCTGGGACTACAGGCGCACACCACCACGCCTGGCTAATTTTTTTGTATTTTAGTAGAGACAGGGTTTCACCATGTTTCCCAGGCTGGTCTGGAACTCCTGAGCTCAGGCAATCTGCCCATCTCGGCCTCCCAAAGTGCTGGGATTACAGGCATGAGCCACCATGCCTGGCCTTAATTAAATATTTTTAAAAATTAAATACGTTTAAAAATCTAAACCCGCATACACGCACTGCTGTTGTTATTGACTTTTAATTGCAGGTAGATACTTCCCCCTGCCCAAAGCCCTGGGCCTAAGGGCTACTATTTCTCTGTTACGAGGAGGTGGTTGCAAATTTTAGAGTTATTCAAGGCATTAGAACACCCAAGGGAGATCCTCTAGTTGACTTATCCAAGAGTAAAAGAGGTCTGCAAAGGGCATGTCTTTCTCCCTGCATCACTAAGTGCTAATTAGGACTGTGTTCTCATCCTACCGGAAATCCTCATAGCACCAGAGATGTACATCCTCCACTTTGGGAAGCATGGGACTAGAAGGTCAAGTTCATACTCCTCAGTCAAATCCTTATGAATTTCCATGATCAGACTCGACTTCCCCTGACCTGTCCATCCCAAGCATCCCCTACTCATCCCTCTTTGCCTTCAGAGCTCCCCCACCCACACACCAGCTCAGGCTCCCATCCCATATACACAGGGGTTGCTCCTCCATGGAACTTAGCCAAATGGTAATTCAGAGTGTTCTTTGTTGTTTAAAGCCTGTCTTCCCAGTAGAGCTCAGGGATGAATGTTTTGTTGTTTTTTTCTCCATTGTCTTCCAACAGCCTTGCTGAGTTACTGGCACATAGTAGATGCACAGAAAACACATGCTAAATATTCTTGTATGAATTATTACTTGGGCTAACTCAGGAAGTAATCCATTCCCAATCTAGTGCCAGTATATTCTCGAGCATATTAGCAAAAGGTACCTCTGTCTCAATATACTTTATTTCCATCTAATAGAAAATCATCAAAAATGACTGATTGGATTGAACAAGACACTTTACTGCCATCTGCTGTAACAGTGTCCTACTGAATATCGAAATCTATCGTCTCTGCTGTGGGACAGGGAGTATCATGCGTTGCCCAACCTATTCAACTGTTCTCAGCAGCCCTGAGTGTGTTCAGACACCTGCAGACTGGGCACCCACCTGATGGGAGTGGGGGCTGGTGCTCAGCTGAAAGTTTGTACTCTGTGGCCTTCAACGACCCTTTTATTAGAAAGAGTTTACCCAAGAAGAATTCTCTGCTCCAATCACTGTG